AAAGATTTGGGCAGCGTTCAGAACTGTCCGGGTGCCGGGGCTATGAAAGCATCTAGAGCCATACCAACGCCGTGCCAGTGCACACGCCGCGTATTGATCGGTCGACTCCTGCACGGCGCTAGCACGGCACTAGCATGGCGCTGGCGCAAGCGTTGAATTCTGCTTGCTCTAACCTCGAAGACATCGTCCATCGCGTTCGAATAGATTTTCAGGACAACGACAGATGCCGTCACGGCATTCTCCACCATTGATGCAGACATCATTCTCGCGACATCTGGTGCCGAGGAAACGATGACGGATCACTTTCGGACCTGAGGATGGTCTTCCTTAAAGTATTTCGTGACGAAAATCAAGGTTTGGCGGAAAAACATCGAAGTTGTCATGGACAGCTGTCCCAAATTGCCGCCTATTATGTGCACTTACGGGTAGGAGCTTGAGTAGCAGCGGTCTCATGGGTAGTCTGTACAATTTCAGGCATAGTTTGGATGAGGACAGGCGGTTGTGTTGCAACTGTTTGTGGGGTATGTGCTGCAAGGTTCTCGTGGAACGTCTGTGGGACTTTCCCGCCCTTAAACAAACGGATATTCCATTGTGGGACCACATAAAATTGTCGTATCCTGTCAATCTCACAACTTACATTGAACTCGAATTTCTCGCACCATCCATTAGGACTTAAAGCATATCCAGGTCCGCATTTGCACACATTATCAATGCAAGTGGATCCTTGTGTGCAGGTATCACCGCTCAATGGTTCGCAATGCTCACCGTATTTCAGTTGACGGTAGACAGGTCCTGTACATGATATAGTATTTATAGACCTGATTACTTGATGCAAAAATAACTTTGGCGGGGATTTACGCATTCTAGACATTTCAAAAAATATTTCTATTTTTATCATAGCACATAACAATGTAAAGATTGTATGAAAGACAATGTGTGTTCCAAACATGCTCCGCCTATAGGCGTACAAAAATATCATTACCGTACAAAGCGAAGTCAGTAGTAAGTAGTGAGCATTTGATCCGGAAACTAAATTATTATTGCTTGCCAAGAAGATCAAGCTCCCCTCATCAATAACTGTACATTATTACACGCAGTTGAAAGTTTTTGAATTTAGAGCTGAAAGGGATTTCAGAAAGCCACAAAGCGCCGTTGAGAAGTGTTTGCAATGCTCGAAATGCCCGCTTTACAAACTAAGCGATAGGTTGGTGAGGTTGAGAAATGTAGAAATGATTGGAGGTCGTAAATACACACAAACACACACGCGCTAAATGACACATAAGAAAAGGGTGAGAAAGACAGGCTCTGTCCGAGTTACCGCGTCTACCACGACTTGCAGCAGTTGTACTCCTCGGTGGCGAAGCCGCCGGTGGTGATGTAGCAGTAGGACCGGGGCGGACAGTTGGGTTCAAGCCCGTTGCACACGATAATTCGTCCGTTTTCGTCACGGGTCGGCTCGTTCCCGGGGGGACAGGCTCCGTTCGCTGTGCTCGTTGTCTTATACGAGCCCGGGCTGGTGATACTGGTCGACTTCGTCTTCGGCTTCGGTCGTCGGATAGGCGGACCCACAATTCGAGG